CCAGACAGACAGATAGATAGATAGAACATAACCAGACAGACAAACAGATAGATGATAGATAGATAGATAGAGAGACAGATAGATAGATAGATAGATAGATAGATAGATAGATAGATAGATAGATAGATATATAGATAGATAGATAGATAGACTAAATATTTATAACAGTTCTGCATTATTGCAATTTAGATCAATGATGAGTTTCAGCTCCATTCTAGAATCATAACTGTAATCTGTTTAGTCGCAAAATTCAATTTAAATCGAGTTAAAATTCTCTCAGCAGCAGATCAGAGGCCCATAAGCCTCTTATGCCATCTAGTGTTGAGAAACAGTTGCATAACCTGCAGTCATGACATGAAGTAAGTGACTTTAAGTAGCCTTCAGGGAAACCATAGTGACACTGACATCACTCTTTATGACTCACTTCTTGGTGGGTTTGAACCAATAACCTCCTGGTTGTCAGTCTTAAACCACTGCACTGCTTTATATTGGCTTAAATGGCTAATTCGATTATTACACTGCAATCTTGAGTCAATACTTAGTTAATTGAGTTTGTGGTGCATTTTTATTAGCAAAAGTCAGTGTTGATGTGCCACTATCATGGTATAGCCTAGGTCTGTGTGGTTTCAGTTCAAAATAAAAATAAAGAAGTGAGAATACACTTTTAATCAATGCTGAATTTCCTTCTGCTTACTGGACGTCAAATAGAATAAACTGCAGCGTTTTGATCAAGAACACAGTATAAAATCGTTTCAGTGCTGATTGTAAGGGAAGAAAACAGTCTTTTTATTAAACGTTAAAGGCCTTTGCAACACACTTTGTGTTTAGTACCTCAAACAGTGTTTAAATCTGTTTCTTGTTTAATAACTATAGTACTGATTTGTTACTACACATAATGAAGCATGCCACCCAAATGTATTACTTAATCTTTGATGCATGTACAAAGTTATTATTTTATATATTTTTCATTAGTTGTCCCCAACTGCTTTGTATTCGTGCTTCTGATGTATCTAAGAAAGTGATAATCACTTATTTTAGCCACTTCCTGTGTGGACAGCCAAAAACAGGAAACACCTACATATAGAAACGCATGTCATGTTAGTGATGGGAGCCTTTCAGACGAACTTGCATGGTGTGCTTACTGGCCTCAAATGAGATTAAAGCGTCTCTTATTTCCATGATGACAAATTTCTGACCCAAACCAAGATTAGCACACACTTCTCAACCGATCACAACTGTGGAAAAAGATCTTATGATTAATTGGAAAAAAGTGTCATGATGCACATCATCACATTTTCTGACTTTACTGAGAAAAAGGACAGAGTACATTCTTATTTAATAAACTAATTTTAATGCATTCGGTCTTCCAGCTATTTTAACATGATTTGGGCTGTAAAGTTGAACAGAAGTAAAATGCCAAACAAGTTCTAAATGCATTTATGCAAAGATTAAAAGTTTTGAAGATTTATCTTTTAAAGACTTTTAAATCTTTGCATTTATACTTATGTTCGACATTACAGCCCAAACCATGTTTTGCACATTTAGCACAACACAGCAGGATGTTGAAATATAAAGCAAATATTCTAAATATGTATATATGTTAAATATTTATGCATGCATGCATCTAAGATAATATATACTTTTATTGAGTGTTAAAAGAAGAAAAAAATCTCAGTTTACCACATGACTAGGACCATTATGCTATTGCTCATTTCTATTATTAATTTTTACCACCAAGAACAAGCTATGGAAGCCTATTTTCACAGCATGAATGGAATTAATAATAGTTCAAAATATTTAGGGAAACAAGTTGATGTTTTGTCTTAAGTGCAGCCTTCGGAGGCCATATCATCTCATCATCTCCTACGCACAGGAAAACAGCAAACAATACAAGAAAAAGCTGACATGTCAGTGGGTGAAATGAGATGCAGTTAACCACATCCCTGAGGCCTTCACACTTGCTAGTTAGATGTCGATTGTTAGTGAGAAAACGTCACCACAGAGCACAAGAAATGAAGCGTGTTTTGCATTACAGAAACATGCTTTGCATTTGCATGATTCTGTGCAATTGAGAGTATTGTCAAAATGAAAGAACACATTCACACCTATTCTATTGTCTCTTTTATAGTCTAAAATATGTTCTGAGAAGACCTTAATGGGGAAGTAATGCAAAAGAATGAACCGAAAACTTTGAACTGAAAAATATTTGAAACGATTTATAGGTGCACAAACATTGAAATATATAAATGTCTTTATTTTTCACTTTTATGGTCTCAGAAAACACACACACACACACACAAACAAAAGGAAAAATTACTCTATAAAATATTGTTTCATTCAGCTCATAGACAATTTTGTTTTCTACTTAAAGGTGCACTAAGTTAATTGTACCTCTAAAAAGTGACAACCCAAATATATTTACATCAATGTGTTAATACAGACTAGGAAAGAAGTTGGTTAATTTAACATAAGCGGAATTCTAAACTCTAATGATAAAATCGCATAACTGTTGAGTTAATAAATAAAAACACAATGCATTTACATCTACAGGTATGCCAGATTAATGATCAAGACGTCTCTTATTTTAGATGTTTAAAGACACAAATAAGACCTGAGAGAAAATAGGCTACTTAGTGCACCTGAAGAATAATTCGTCTGAAAATCATCATATACTCATGTTCACCTCACAAGCAGACTTAAATTTAAGTCGTTATTCACTGTATTCTATTATTTGAAAGCTAGACAACTCTAGCGGCTGACGTTACTCGCGGACTAACATTGTTTTGATCTCTTGAGTTGTGCTTCGGCTGATTGTGTCATTCAGAATTGCGAGAAAAAAAAGTCGCAGTTTCCTTTTTTATTTTTTTATTCAGTGGCGGAAATGGGCTTCCATAACAAACAGATCAAAGTAGTAACTACTATGTAAAGTATATTGATTCGTGTTTTATTACGGATACTTTAGCTTTCCCTTTTTGCTTTTTGGTTCAATATTCAGTTGTTACTTCTTCAAGCTACATCCAATTATTAATATAGTAATATTCTGACTTCTGATTGCTTTCCTTTATTTACGAATATGACGTAAACAGATAGAGTAATGACGAAAGTATGCAGGTTCCCTGGAAATCCGCCCCGAAAACTTAAAAAATATAAATAATTATTAGAGGCTTACAGTGATTTAGACTAAGGCAAAACACTTTTTGGAAGATGTACTTGCTCATTATGTACGGTTTCTTGATTTCAAAGCAAAAAAAACAATATTTTCATTGTCAATATTTTGCGTTGTAAATCATTATTCAAGACTTTGTACAGCGCACAAGTCTTAAGGACTATGGTTTATGAGGCTTAAGTATAAATCACCATCTCTTTTCCCTGTATGGACAAGAACCGCTTTGGCATTCTGCCTAAGACCTCCTTTGGTGTTTGAAGAAAATAAAGAAAACAATACAAGTTTGTAAGAACATGAGGGTGAGTACATGACCACATTTCATTTTTACCGTGCTATTTCTTAAATGACACTCTTAGCATCCCAGTATGGCTTATGAAAATGATTCCGTTAAGGCCCTGAGTTACTGTCGTTCAGTGAACATACAAGCATCTCATTCCATTGGTCGGTACGGCTCTTCATGTCTCTTGCGGTGTTGTTTATTCCTCGGTCGAGGTAAGGGAGGAGGATTTTCCTCATCGTCCTCAGGCGGTGGTGGAGGTCGACCGCGGGTCTGGGCTTTGGGCTGAGTCTGGGTTTGAGTTGGGGTTTGTGGAGATGTGTCTTCTTGCGGGATGGGGGGCGCCGGTTGCCCCCTAGCAGTGTGTTTGGATCTGGCTGTACCGGTATGAGCTTCATCTTGAAAAACCCTCAGTCTGAGCTCATCTTCATCTGGAAAATATGAAGTAAATCTGTTATGTGCAATTTTATTCTATTTTCTGATACCAGTATTGTGGCTGATGACTGATATATATATGATATCACACTATTTATAGAAACACATACTGCAATATGTATATTGACTGCATCCTAAATTTAAAAAATAATAATAATTAATCCCTCCCTTTCTAGCTTGTACTAATCTGAACAATGTCTTGCATCTGCTCAGTGAATAAATATAAATGTAAATATGTGTTATGTATATGCAGTAACACATATATAAATATCACATACCGCAATTAAATTTATATTAATTTCCATAATATGTATCTTCTAAATTCAAATAATTCTAAATTAAATCTATCAGGAATCTATCAGAATAAATTATTTGAACTTGATGAAAAAGTAATCTTGCAAAATAACCAGATTTATCTTTAGATAGCAACTTCTTGATTGTGTAATCCTGTTCTAGTGTTTTTTTTCAAGGTAAAAACAAGAAACCAAGTAAACACGGTAAGCAGCGGTGCACTTAGTGATCTTTTAAGTTTGTGTGCTGCAATTATATTTTCTCAAATAAAGACCAAGTAATGCAAATTCTACACAATCAATATCAGCCTTGGTGATATATTGGATAATATATAGCACTTATAAGCTATTCTACTTATTTTTGAAGGTGATTCTTATAAAACCTGTAAAGTGCTGATTGTGTGGATTCTTAGAAAACCTTTAGTGCTGATTGTTCTTTTTAATGCTTCAGAAAACCACATAAAAACGTCTGTATACAGGATATTTAGCGGAGCTTGTTAGATCTTGTTTCTAGATCTGTCTGGTGCCACCTAAACAAAGAGATTTGGCAAATGCATTATCTAACAGTGACTTAACATAGTCCAAAAAATAAATAAATAAAAAAATACACATGAAATGTGTTTAGGTTTCAGTATATTATCATGTAATAGAGCCTCTAACCTGACACTACGGGAAACTGCGGTAAAAGGCTTTGTGTTCCTGTTTTAAACTTGTTAAGTACAATGAATAAACACAATGAAGATATCTTCATAATTTCATTCAGTAATCTATATTTGCATTTATATGACTATATTTAAGATTTGGCATTTAAAAACACAGATTAAAGCTCAAAAAGAACATTGACAGCTTCATAATTTGATCTGTTTGCTTTTTGTTGAAAATACAAATGCTCAATGCATAATTTCAGAGGCGATGAAGGCGTCTCTTACCTTGTTCGTGCTTCTTTTGTTTTTTACAGCTTCGACATGCACAGATGATAAGAACACACATCAGCAGCAGCAGAAGGGCTCCTCCACCTGCTAAAATGCTCACCATGATCCATAAATCAAAGCCAAAGAGTTTATGAGGACCTGAGCCGTCACCTGTAGTACCTGTACCTGTAAGCAAATGTCATGAAATCAGTAACAAACAAGTGGATCATTAAAAAAAACCCTCTATTTTAAGCAATTTAAAATCCTAAGAACTGCATCATGCATAATACTGTACAGGCCAATGTTCAATGTTCAATCACGAGATGATCCTTAAAATGCACAATATAAGTCAATCCTTTGGACACACTCCTAATCATCTTAATAATCTTTTGATTTAAAAGCTTCTGTTTAAATGATTGGAATTAGTTTTGTAGGCAAATATAACTGTGTGCAACATGTATACATTTCATTGTATTGACTACTGGTGAATGACGTAAATGCATCAATAAGTTTGCAGCATCTGTGTTCCTCAATAAATGTTTAAAATATTTTCCAAGATGCTCCTCATGGAGTTGATTGAGGGCTGGAATCTACAGTATGACTCAATACAGTACCAAACAAACCATTTTTTATGTATTCTGGGATGTATTTTAATTTACTTTGCAATTTCTTGTCCCTTGCAAAGACAAGGGAATGTCAGGCATGATGGCAAACTCAAATACATGGACACTTGACCTTTGACATGAACAACAAGAAAGTGCTTTCTTCTTCCTTTTGAAAGTTAATAAGCCTATTTGTTTTGCAATCTTAACTTTTTTAGTCACTTAATAACTCCCAGACAAACGTTTGTGTTTTTTCATAGTTTTGATGGCTTTGATGTGGAATAAAGCAACTGAAAAACACTTTTTTCAAAACACTGAAAAAATATTGCCTCAACTTAAAGTAAATTTTTTAATTTTATTCAACTTGAAATCTGAAGCTCTAAGTAACAAGCTGTATATTTGAGTTATCTCAACAACTTTAATGCAGGTGAGTTGTTGTAATGCGAAATTAAGTTGTGATAGCTAATTGCATATATATATATA